CCCCAAAACCCCAAAACCCCCAGCAGCTTTAGATTTTGAGATCTAATTTAAATTGTTTAAAATCCAAATAGAATTATTTATTCATTAATCATTATTACTTTTGTTCTTCATTTTGTATCTATTCCTGTTTTATTTGATCGACATTATTGCTATCAGCAGTGCCTTTATTTTGACTATCATCATCATTTGACTCTCCTGACTCTCCTGAGTGATCATCATCCACATCTCCTTTGGGGTTTTCGACTTATTAAACCTTTTTCTCTTGTTATTACGGACTCTCCTCTGCATCATCGTCATCATCATTTTCCTCTATCAAAGGAACAAGGTTATCAGCTTTTTCAATCACAATCTAGTCATATTATTTCTCTGGCTCACTTTTACTGTTTTTACTCAGACTCTTGTCTAGATTGACTTCAGGCTAAGACATATCAATAGGGTTTTAGTCATCTGCTTGTTCTTTAGTTAATTATGTATCATTGACATCAACTTAAGGGATTGGCATTGATTTTTGTTTTCCAAATACATAAAGACTTTGGAATCTCGTATTTTCAAAGAGCTATTCTTCAACCTACTCAACTTTCTCGTGATTAATTTTGCTTGAATATATCTCGAATTAAGCGAATACAGGTCTATGATCAGAGAATAGAATATCTTGGATCGATTTTAGGATTTGTTAATTAACTTTAGAGTTTCTCTTCCACAGTATACGATCGCACCAAGCTGGTACTCTTTGCTTTTTACTGCTATCATATTCATTAGACTTTTTATCAAATTTGTAAGTTGGCGGGAAATCGATATTGCCCTCAATGAAATCTCTGTAGAATCTATACTGCATATCCTTTGAATGTCTGTATAGTTCAAATGCCTGCATAAGCTCATCATTAGCTTTAAGGAATCTGTAGTCTAACTTCTTGACAGCTGGTCTAACGAGATCATTGGTAGCAGCTATTCTGTAATTCAAATCTCCAAATAAGAATACCATATCATGATGTTCAAATCCCAATCTCTAAAGACGTTTATAAATTTAAAATACTTACTCTACTCTTTGATTCGGTCTTGAAGGCATTGTCAAATATAAAGTTAATTTCATCAGTTCTTTTAGATCCCTTGCCTTTGCCACTCATTAAGTGACAGTTTAAGAACATCATATTAGTGTCATCGAGCTTAAACCTCACAATGACTGCCCCCTTATTTCCTGCACTTCCACCAAGTCCGGTTTTTATCTTTGTAGCCATTAGATCCTTAATTCTATTGTGCTCAAGAAGTTTCCTTTTAACGAATAGTCCAATAAAACAACCAACCATGGATTTAGCGATAACCCAAACATATCTTTCCATAGGGTCCTTGGTATTACTTGCCACTTCAATAGCAGATCTAAGTAATTGCTCCCACTCATTCATTCTAGTCTTGTTCTTTCCTTTAAAAATACCAAATGCATTCAATTTGACGATTTCTTGGAGGCCAATGACCATAATATCTCTATAAATTAATTAAATGAAACTAATTGTTACGGGAAGACTCCATCTATTTGAGGCTTGAAAATAGGTATTAACTCTTTATAGCTTGAAGGTAATCTACCTGCACAGTTAATTGTAGTGATGTGTAATACAACTTTCTACTCTTCAGTGTAGGATTTTATTTCCTTAATAATAGTTGACTCAATAAAAGTTGATGGAATGGTATTGCAAAGCTCATGTGATCCTTGAAATATTAAAAAGCACTCCTGTCTATATTCATCAGATAAATTCTGTCGGAGCATTCGTCTTGGCCCCATATTACCAATGTTTAGTAAGATCATTAGATGATCTCTTGAAAGGATTTAATTAAGCTAAGGAGATTAGCCTGTGTATTATTTGGAAAGATATTCACCATTGAGTTACCAAAGGGTGGTAAAGACTTGCTCTATCTTGGGATCGGTTTGCTTTAGGTAAGGTATAATACTGACATAGCATAACTTCATTTAGACGACATTAGACTTATCAGAGCAATCAAGGCAGTTTGTCCTGACTAAGCCTTTTTGAAGTTTCAAAATTGATCTAGACTCTCTTACTCTATAATAATTAGGTAATGTATAAATAGTGCTTACATTTGATCATTCTCGTAGTAGATAGAGTGCTTCTCTGTATAGCAGTCAATACTGTCTAGATATTTGTTCTTAAGCATGTCATTGATATAAGTGTCTAGCACAGAAGTGTTCTTTTTGCAATGATGAGCGTAGTCAAAGTGGTCATAGTCTATCTTTTTGCCCTATTTACTAATGGTAGGTGCTGTTTCATCAATAATTTTCTTGTAATGCTAAGTTAATTCGTCCTCGAAGGCTTAAGATTAGCTTTGTAAGTTTAATGCTAAGAATTTATCTACTTCATAGTCCTCACATACTTTCATCACATGTTTAGTGAATATTTCTAGAGTTGATTCAACACTTCTCATCATATTTGGCTTTCCTGTTAGCTATTGCCAGAATAGTGGTGCTGTTGCTCTAAGCTAAACGTAAGAAGTAGTGAAAAAACGAACGGTCTTATCTTTTTAGACTTTATAGAATATCAACTATTCAGTTTCAACACTACATGCAGTATTACCTTCTTCATCTAAGCCTCTGCAGTGATTTTTACTTCCACCGCCAATCCACCTTCTTCTCGATAACAAAATCAGCTCGATATCATTAATCTCTGATTATCCCACAAATCCTTGTATAATTGGAATAGTCCAGTATTAAGATATATGCTATGTCCTCATTTGCTTATTAAGATTGTAATTCCACACATATCTATAATCCTACTAACTCAAGGGATCAAAACTTTTCAGATCCTACCCATCACTTAGAAAGTAGAGCTTATCTCTTTTTTATGCACTTAATGTCAAGTCAAAGTTATATGAGAAATAAAACCCTGCCTCCATGTATCTTTTAATGCCTTCGCGGATGCTTTTAAGTGAATTCTCGAGATGATTATTATTGACTCCATAAAATGGGATGATATCAATATCCTGCAACTCATAGATTGATGTGGGTTCATCTTTGTAGATTTAAAATCTATGTTTGATTCTGCAGATCTCCTCCTTTCCAGTAATTACCATCAAGTGTTCAAGTCCGAGAATGTTTATTATACCTAAGAACCCTTGAATTTCCAGAGTCCAGTCTGCATCTTATCTCACAACCACATCTGCAAATAGATTAGTAAATGTCTTAGAAGGATAATAATCAGATTGAAAGCGTTATTAATAGCATGAGTAAATTATTAAGTATTTATTCAGACAGGAAAAAATATAGAAAATGAAATACTTACCATGCTCTTAGATCTTTACTGAATTCTTATCGATAATAAGAGATTTTTAAAACTTAACATTCTTAAGGGGCGAGATTGTAAAGGTATTTGGGGTCGATTGCAATGCCCACACTGGGCTATCATAATCAACATATTCAACTTGAGAGGCAGCTTTATTTAGAGAGGGTAAAGTTCTATCCATTTATTAGACAAATCTTTAATAATTAAACAATTATAAACACTCCTAACAGTAAAACTAAATTATTGACTAAGCACATTATGAAATTAATTTAATAATTTATGTATATACAATTATATCTAATTCAATGAAAGCACAATGATCTAGGCATGGTTAATCATGTATATTTACTTTGTCAGATTAAACTATCAAAATAACTTTGTAACTCATCACTTGTTGGTATTGAGTTAGAAAAAGTCTCTTATGTATTATCGATATCGAGTCTTATGGATTCTTCAAGATCCTATGCTGTTTTATACCATTCTGATTCTTAAATTATATGACCCACTTAACCCCCATTTTTCTTAATTTGATCAATAGAATTCTACAACGATTGTAGACACTGAAAATCAAACATATTTTATCTAGCAGAAAGAATGTATTAGTATAATTGCTTACTATGAATTTTCAGCTTATGAGTATGCGTTATTCTTATATCCTTGAAAGTAATTGTCTTACAAAGATGAAGCAATAGTTGTAGAAGCATACATTACAAATTTATATATTTTGAATTTAATTTATTCTTCTCAACTTACATCAAAATATTCCTTGGGGTTTTGGGGTTTTGGGGTTTTGGGG